ATCTTCTCATGGTGTTTAAAACCTTGCCGGTAATTGCTTAGTCTTCATTTGGATGTGTCGGTGTATAGGTGCACTGGTATATGCTAATTTGTATCACGTTCATTCTGACAGCCAGCATCTGAACACAACTAGGTTCCCCACAACTGTAGTATCAGTGTGACGTCTACAATTGTGATGTGTCGCTTTTGCAACAACTGGATCGGTTTGAAGTGCGGTGTAGGGTCAGCATGTAATACTAGTTGACATGACAAGAGCATAGGATATGAATATAATGATAACTGACATAAGAATAAAATTGGTTGTACATTCAATAGAAATTGTAATGCCAGAAGCATGGAATCTTAATTATAATGGTAGTAGCACAAACTTTAAATATAATGATGGCGGGAATGATAGTGGCATATAATATAAATATAATGATAGCGGCAATGATAGTGGCACATAATGTAAATATAATGATATCGGCAATGAAAGTGGCATATAATATAAATATAATGATAGAGGCAATTATAGTGCCATATACTATAAATATAATGGTAGCGGCAATGATAGTGGCACATAATGTAAATATTATTATATAGGCAATGATAGTGGCACATAATATAAATATAATGTTGAGGCAATGCTGGCGGGATATATCATACATATTATGATAGCGGCAATGATAGTGGCATATAACATCAATATTATGATAGCGGCAATGATAGTGGCATATAATATAAATATAATGTTGTGACAATGCTGGCGGGATATATCATACATATTATGATAGCGGCAATGATAGTGGCATATAATATAAATATTATGATAGCGGCAATGATAGTGGCATATAATATAAATATAATGTTGTGGCAATGCTGGCGGGATATATCATACATATTATGATAGCGGCAATGATAGTTGCATATAATATAAATATAAATGAAATGGTAATGATAAGAGTATGGAATAGAAATATAATGGTACAGATAATTGTAGTAGCATAGAACAGTAATATTATAATAGTAGCGCAGAATATAAACATACTGTTAGTAGTAATGCTATTAGGATATAACATATATATAATGTTAGTAGCACAGAATTTAAATTATAACAGAAGTGGTAACGATAGTAGTATAAGATATAAATGTAATGGTTATTGTATGAAAGATAAATGTAGTGGTAGCAATACAGTATATAAATATCATGTTGGTGGTAATAGTGCAAAATGTAGTGTTTGAAGTGTAGATTATTAAAGTAGTGGTTATAGCATACCATATAAACATAATGGTGATAGACTATCAATACAACATTAGTAGTAATGGTAGCAGTATAGAAGGTAAATCTAATGGTAATAGTATATACTATATATATAATGTCATGAGTAATGGCATATGGACTCATATATTGTCTATGAAATCTTGCATAACAATACCTTTTTGTTTTATAATGATAACATTCTAGGATTGCTTATTTTAATCGTACAAACTGATTTGATTAGTTCAAATGCAGATATTTCTTAGTTATGGCGCATGACTGGAATGGTTGTAGTATAGACTTTCAAACTAATTGGGAGTCGTCAGGAGAACAGGATACAGTATGTTAAGCATGGAAATCTATATATGTATTTTTATTTCTATATTTGGGTGGATACATATGCCGGCATATATGTATCCATTAAAATATAGAAATCAAAATAGTAATCAACGACGTGCTAAAGACATGTCTGAGATTTGTTCGATGTAGAGGAGACAAGGTCTAGCTTAATATCTAAAAGGAGGAGTCATTGGAATGAAGAGTTAACCCCTCTTTCAAACTGAGGAGTTATTATTCAACTGAAAACGATGGCTTATCATTTATCTTGGATTAAGAGCTATCATTTATCTCGGATAAATAGCTATCATTTATCTTGGATGAAGAGCTATCATTTATCTGGGATAAATAGCTATCATTTATCTCGGATAAATAGCTATCATTTATCTTGGATAAAGAGCTATCATTTATCTCGGATAAATAGCTATCATTTATCTTGGATGAAGAACTATCATTTATTTCGGATAAATAGCTATCATTTATCTTGGATTAAGAGCTATCATTTATCTCGGATAAATCGTGATCATTTATCTTAGATTAACAGCTATTATTTATCTTGGATTAAGAGCTATCATTTATCTCGAATAAATGGCTATCATTTATCTTAGATTAAGAGCTATCATTTATCTCGGATAAATCGTTATCATATATCTTGGATTAAGAGCTATCATTTATCTCGGAAAAATAGCTATCATTTATCTTGGATTAAGAGCTATCGTTTATCTCGGATAAATCGTTATCATATATCTTGGATTAAGAGCTATCATTTATCTCGGATAAATCGTTATCATTTATCTTGGATGAAGAGCTTTCATTTATCACGGATAAATAGCTTACCCGGAGCCTATCATTTATCTTCGATAAAGAGCTATCATTTATCTCGGATAAATAGCTATCATTTATCTTGGATGAAGAGCTATCATTCATCTCGGATAATTCGTTATCATTTATCTTGGATTAAGAGCTATCATTCATCTCGGATAAATAGCTATCATTTATCTTGGATTAAGAATTTATTTTGGATGAATAGTTATCAACTATCTCTATTAAGAGTTATGATTTGTCTCGGATAAATAGTTATTATTGTTCTCGGATAAAGTATTGTCAATCATCTCTGATTAACAATTATCATTTATCTCGGATAAATAGTCATAATTTATCTCTGATGAATAGTTATTAATTAATCAGATTAAGAGTTATCAATCATCTCAGATAAATAATTTTCATTTATCTCGGATAAATTGCTATCATTTATTTTGGATTAAGAATTATCATGTATTGGGCGATTAGTTATCAGTTATCTCTGATTAACAGTTAAGATTTGTCTGGGATAAATCTAGTTATCAATTAATCAGATTAAGAGTTATTCATTATCTCAGACTAAGAGTTATCATTTATATCGGAAAGAGGGTTATTATTCATTTCGGATAAATAGTTATCATTGTTTTCGGCTTGAGTGTTATTAATTACCTCAGATTAAAAATTATCATTTATCTCAGGTTACAAATTACCATTTATATCGGATTAAGAGTTACGTATGTCGGGGGTTATGGGTAATCTCCGCATAATTAATATTATTCATTTCTGAACAATTGTTGGTGACGTTTTACCAAACTATACTGAATGACTCTGCATATGCAATAAACATTATAAATGAATAATAGTGAATTGTATTGGTGTATTATTTAAATATATCGTTTTTCTGTCTCGCTTAGTCACGTGACACTGCTGCGACTTTGGAGTTAGTGCGAATCATCTCTACCCCAATACCTAACAACTCGGGTATCTGACAATGGGGTATGTGACAACCGGGATATCTGACAACTAGGGTATGTGACAACCGGGATATCTGACAACTGGGGTATGTGACAACCGGGATATCTGACAAATGGAGTACAGCCGTTTTAAAAGCGCTATCAACAATATTTCACTTAATTATTACTATCAATTTCCAGCAATCAATAGATATATAAACTCACAGCTATCTTTATATATTACTATTATTACATTATATGACGGAAGTGTCTTTATACAATATACTTGAATATCAGTTCTTGATATTTTGCATAATTATCTATGTAGCAACGTCAGAGTGACTCCAAGAACAGTGGTTTGTGACAAGCTTTGAATGTCACGTAAATGAAACCCCAGGTGCTAAACTGCCGAGCAAATGAAAGCAAGCACTTAAAAACTGGATTTGACCAAACAGAATAAAAACGTTAACAACACAGCACATTTGAGGTCCATAATACCCGGATTAAATACACCACCATAATAATAATATCCCGTTGTTTCGTTTTCAGCCATCATCAATCATGGGTGAATACTTTCTTTTTTTAGTATATGTGGGGACAATGAAGTTTCTTCAGGACAGCCATATTCCTGATGGGAATTGTAACAAAGTGACATCCAAACCTTGAAACATATGTTTCCTGGCACATACAATTTCAGCAGGATCTGGTCACTGGTGTGCTTCAGTTATTATGTTAATGAACAGATCAACTTATTCAGGTAAAGAAAGGCCAACAACGGTACGGTAGTGATAAAAAAATCTGTTCATCTTGAATAATATACTAAGTACCTAAAAGGAAAGGTATGAAACATGTGACATAAATACTGGTTGATGGTTATTGTCCGTGGCGTAATATAAATCCAGAGATATCTGTGTCAGCTATTCACCTGTTCCATTCTGTTTTGTTATGTATCTACAGCTGTCGCCAAAGACCAACTGCCCTTTCAAAACAGATCGAAATAGGGGACCTTTAATGTCCTTTATTCATTTTTCGGGCAAAAACATTAATTCAAAGACATTGATTATAATTACATTATGAAGAGGTACACTGACCTAAAGACATATGACTCCGACTCGGTGATCGCATTCACTTCAACTGATAGATAAAACTTGCCCGTATCGACCCATTTTCGAACGAAAGGACGTTCGTGTTGTTCATTAATATTAGGCATCGTAATCGATGTGCAGTGTTGCATTAACGGTGATCGCAGTGTCGAATCTTATTTCGATCCAATTTCGATCCTTGGTCTGTCAGTACCATACTCTTTCTCAGTGGTTTAACCAAAGTGTCATACGTCATGTTGAGCTCCCTTTTTCCACATTACAGTAAGCTACGGTTATAACGAACTCAAAGGGACCACTAATTTTTGTTCGTTATAACCGTAGTTCGTTATAAGCATATATACAGCATATCTACAACAAATGGCAGGGACTAAAAATATGTTCGTTATAGCTGTCAGTTCGTTATAAGCGTGTTCGTTATAACCGTAGTTTACTGTAATCTCATAGCGGACACACACTTGTAAAACAACACCGTTCAAAGCGAAGATTGTAACGGTAAATGGCAAAGTACGAATCTGCTGGTCTGTAAGTATCGGTTTTATGTTACCTCATCAATGATAATCATGGACACATGTTGGGTAATACAATCAACTTTAATCAAATCAATATGTGTAATGATAGACAGTAACAAACAGTGAAATACCCGGCAAGAGGAACGATCAGTGCTGCGGACTATGAAGGTTAACAATAACGATCTGTTTCTTCTTGAATCGCGAGATTCATACAGCGATCACTTTCACATTTACAGTCATTTCAGTGTGTGAATCACACTACATCAAACCTGTATGTGTCGTGTGATATCAGTATTCACAATAGTGGTGTGTAACTCTCATCATGTGCACACAAGTCAAACATTACAGCTCTTGTGATATAATTATCAATATTCACTAGAATGTGGGCAGTTATCTCTATCATGTGCACACAAGTCAAACATTTATATTTCTTGTGATATAATTATCAATATTCACTAGAATGATGGCAGTTATCTCTATCATGTGCACACAAGTCAAACATTAATATTTCTTGTGATATAATTATCAATATTCACTAGAATGTGGGCAGTTATCTCTATCAAGTACACACAAGTCAAACATTTATATTTCTTGTGACATAATTATCAATATTCACTAGAGTGTGTGCAGTTATCTCAATCACGTGTAAACAAGTCAAACATTCATATTTCTTGTGATATAATTATCAATATTCACTAGAATGTGGGCAGTTATCTCTATCATCTGCACACAAGTCAATCATTTATATGTCTTGTGATATTATTGTTAATATTCACTAGAATGATGGCAGTTATCTCAATCACGTGTAAACAAGTCAAACATTCATATTTCTTGTGATATAATTATCAATATTCACTAGAATGTGGGCAGTTATCTCTATCATCTGCACACAAGTCAATCATTTATATGTCTTGTGATATAATTGTTAATATTCACTAGAATGATGGCAGTTATCTCTATCACGTGTAAACAAGTCAAACATTTATATTTCTTGTGATATAATTATCAATATTCACCAGAGTGTGGGCAGTTATCTCTGCCCTTTGATGTAGTTGTCAATATTTACTAGAGAGCGTGAGAGTGTTTCTCTCATAGTACATATATGTGTAGACAAGTCAAACATTTAACTGCCCTTTGATGTAGTTGTCAATATTTACTAGAGGGCGTGAGAGTGTTTCTCTCATAGTGCATATATGTGTAGACAAGTCAAACATTTAACAGCCCTTGATGTAGTTGTCAATATTTACTAGAGAGCGTGAGAGTGTTTCTCTCATAGTACATATATGTGTAGACAAGTCAAACATTTAACTGCCCTTTGATGTAGTTGTCAATATTTACTAGAGAGCGTGAGAGTGTTTCTCTCATAGTACATATATGTGTAGACAAGTCAAACATTTAACTGCCCTTTGATGTAGTTGTCAATATTTACTAGAGAGCGTGAGAGTGTTTCTCTCATAGTACATATATGTGTAGACAAGTCAAACATTTAACTGCCCTTTGATGTAGTTGTCAATATTTACTAGAGAGCGTGAGAGTGTTTCTCTCATAGTACATATATGTGTAGACAAGTCAAACATTTAACTGCCCTTTGATGTAGTTGTCAATATTTACTAGAGAGCGTGAGAGTGTTTCTCTCATAGTACATATATGTGTAGACAAGTCAAACATTTAACTGCCCTTTGATGTAGTTGTCAATATTTACTAGAGAGCGTGAAAGTGTTTCTCTCATAGTACATATATGTGTAGACAAGTCAAACATTTAACTGCCTTTTGATGTAGTTGTCAATATTTACTAGAAAGTGTGAGAGTGTTTCTCTCATACTACATGTATGTGTAAACATTTAACTGCATAAGTATCAATATTCACTTGAGAGTGGGCGTGTTTGTCTCATAGTGCATATATATGTAGACTAGTCAAACAATGAACTGCCCTGTGATATACGTATCAATATTCACTAGTGGGGCGTGTTACTCTCACGGTACATGTATGTGTAAGGGGCGACCATTTGATATTCGAGAGTTGGGGATGGAAGAGGGCTGCGATTTTATCGAAAAACTGTAACTGTCCCAGAAAAAAAAGATATTAATGCTTCAGATAGTTTAAAACAAACTGAAATTAATTGCCACACAAATTAAATTGTTGCACGATTTTTTTTTTAAATTATTAAAACTCATAGTTTTAATTAAAACAATATCCTGAAGATGTGGCTGAAAAATATCTGGTTTCCAAACAAGCCACATCCACCACAATCACAAATATCAAAAGGTCGGGCCCTAAACATTTTAACTACCTTGTGATATAAGTCTCCATATTTACTAGTGGGGTGCGTGTATCTCTAACGTTATATGGTGACTAGTCAAACATGGACATGTTCAGTGATGTGACCATTACTAGTCACTAGAGTCCAGCCCAAAATGTGTAAACGAGTCAAACATTACCCCGGACAGACATCTATGACCAACAATTCTCAGAGAATAATGTTGTCTCACATAACGTATAGATATAAATCAAACATTACCCCGCCCAGACATTCAACTACCAACACTTCTCACAGAATAATGTTGTTTCACATCATCAATAGAAGAGTCAAACATTTCACCGCCCAGACATTCAACTAACAACACTTCTCACAGAATAATGTTGTTGCACATCATCAGTAGAAGAGTCAAACATTTCACCGCCCAGACATTCAACTACCAACACTTCTCACAGAATAATGTTCTTACATCATGTGTAAACAAGTCAAACACTACTCCGCCCAGTCATTCAACATCACGTGTAGATGGTATATGAGTCTCACAGAATAAGGTTGTCTAAAATCACGTGGTGATATGAGTTAAACAAGAACTAGCCCTGTAATATATTTATCAGTATTCACAAGAGCGTGGTCGTGTTTAATAGCACTTTCATACATATAATTGATTTCATAAATTAACGCGTAAATTTCACATTATTACATGTCATTTTCAAATCCAATGTCTACGTCTCTATCATTGTAAAATTTGCATTTCTGTGATATGTTACGTTCCATATGAAATATGATTATACATTCACATAATGTTGTCGACCAATAGGACAGTGAATACAGTATAAGGACATGTGTGAACCATCCGATAAGATCCGGGTCAGAATTGGTCTGCAGCACCCCATGTTTGTCGTAAGAGGCGACTAACGGGATCGGGTGGTCAGGCTCGCTGACTTGGCTGATGCATGTCATCGTATCCCAATTGCGTAAAATCGATGCTGATGATGTCAATTACTTAATTATCTGGTCTAGATTCGCCTTTAAATGGCTGTAATAATGCCGAGAGCGGCGTTAAACATCAAACAAACGTGACACAAAGATGTGAAGTGCAAATCTCAACGAACCAACCATATTACGTCAAAATATTGCCGTAGAGGTTCAATATAATCAGTTTGTAGTATGTGGTCAGCATTATGTCAACATTTCTTTGGTCAGGTGGACTCGTTTTCTGTGAGTACGGTACATAAAATGTGTAAATCGTCTCTGTGGTTAGCATTTGGCGTTTGTGAATTGACCACAATGAATGACGTTATGACAGCACAGTCACTGATTAACGCCAGCTATTGTCACGAAACATCCACTGTTTCACACTCGTCATCACTGGCGTCTTCGACGTCATCGTCGTCTCCACAGTCACGTGGTATCATTTCCTCTGCCAGAGCCTCGTTCTCAGATTCCTCCACTGCCTCCGATTGGTCGAGGGGGTGAGGTGGCGACGAGCAGCCCTCTTCTGACTTGACACGCTTGTATTTTGTTCGCCGGTTCTGGAACCATACCTTCACCTTAAATTAAATAGAAAAGACAATTAATATGCATGCTTACATTGAGATAAATTACGCTGAATATGATACGTCGACGCCAGATAATATCAGTCTCGGTCAGCTGCCGAGATTCACTGGGTGTAAAAGGCAAAATAGTGGTGAAAATTATATAAATTGGTTGTTGAACATCAGGAATAGTAAGCATGATACGGACACGCCCTACCCTTCCGCTCACACAATTTGCATAAAAAGTAAGGATTTATGTTTTGCCTGACGCCGCACCAGACAGTATTTCTGCCCGAAACTGCGTTTAAACTCAGCAAAATTGTCCTTATGAAAAAAAGGTCAGAATTAACAAATCATCGATATTTTCCTTTGTTTGGTGATACATGTTCCCTAGGTAACCGACAGGGTGGCAAGGTGTCCGGACAAACAGGGATAACACTCCATAGGGTTTACCTTTTGCGTAAATGTGAACGCTGGGTTTTTTTCTACCAACACGTGTGCTCCTAGACCCAATCCCACCCCTCGCAAAAAACAAATCACCCAACTTGCAAGTTCTAATTACCCAGGAGTGCCCCCCACCCCACCCCATGCACACACCCACCCAACACCCCAACAACACAGCACCAGTAAAGGTTCGACCCTACACTGACGCATAGTCCCCGAAATAAAGTTATCTATAAGGTTACACACAAATATATCGTTAAAGGAGCCCACAAGTCTCGTAATTTCCGAGAGATGAAAAGGGGATGCGTTCAGGTTGATGGTGCTGAGTAGGATTGGAGAACGGTTTGGGGGTGACTTCTATTTTGTTGATATGCACTTGGGTCTGAACGGAGAATAGTCCCACCCTCATTTGACAATCGGCCTCAAAGTCTAGCATTAGCTTTAGGCGGGGGGGGGGTTTGTTCGGGGACAACATCTTTGAATTATAACGCTATGCTCGGGGGGTCCGCTACAGTTGTAAGCACACTTGGCACTAATCTACCGTCTCTTACAACAGTAATGTCCATCAGTACCCCTACCCTGACTGCACACAAACAACACACAATGGAAATATCTTACAAACTAGATTATGCCTCAATAAAGGCTAATATAGGCCTCCCTCGTCTCTGTGCTTTGTGGTAGGGCAGTAATTTTGTTGTAAGTGTCGTTCCGTGTAGAAGTTTCCGCTGACGTGTGTCAGTCATCCCTGACGCTGTTGGGGGGACATAGTCCGTCACGCACCCCCAGCTTCTCCAACCGTGACCACACACAATATTATAGGTTTATCATTCAAATCAACCATTTTCTCTGCGCGCCGGTGGCTGCAAGTATAATGAGCTAATGTCGCCCAGCCCGAGAACCACACACACACTGTGAAGTTAATAAATGTACTGGAATTAGACACATTTGCTACAAATAGAGTCTATTTTCCTTATAATTAACCACTGAGTTAGAAAATATCATGAATAAAAAGACAAAGTTGATTTCATTCCTGGGTTTGAGTTATTATTCGGATAGGAGACCTGTGACCACAGTCCTAATAAAAGCGTTGTTATGAGAGACTTACCGGCTCATTTCGTTGAAAAGCATAGAATTTCATATTCAATTTCATTTCGGACTGAATGTAACCAAATGTATTTTTTCATTAATTCAAGATTTATATGCTGTTAAAAGTTAACTTTTTATTCAAAATAATGGTTGTTCGTTTTGCTATGAATTTGACGTGTTGGTTTGCATTAATGTGTTATTTGCTTAATACATTTTGCTTGACAATACAAAGGAAATATATTTTAAAAAGCTATGTGAAACCTAATTATTGATCTGTATAACTACATAAAAAAAGCTACTCAGTTAATTGTACGCACTACAATATATTATATCACCCTTGCATGTGTGTGCAGTATTGTGGAGTAGTGTTTAACCCATAAATCTCATTGCACAATACTTGCAGTGCAAATGGAGTGAGTGAGTGAGTATGGTTTTACGCCGCTTTTAGCAAATTTTCCAGTAAAAATAAGGCGGGGGACTCGAGAAATGGGCTTCACTCATTGTACCCATGTCGAGAATCGAACCCGGGTCTTCGGCGTGACGAGCGAACGCTTTAACCACTAAGCTACCCGACCGCCCCTCAGTGCAAATGGACGTCTCCTTACTTACTGTTAGCTTAAGAACACCATGTCATGTTTTACACAGACGATACAAAACAGCCCATTAAGAAGACATTGCAGTAGTTTCTCTGTTCTATTCTATGTTGTACAGCATAAAAAAGACGACAGGGTAATTTATCATACCTCGACACTACGTCAATGAATATAAAATATAGTGTTTACTTTGCGAGTCTGACACTAATCACGTAGTGTAACGACACGGCCACTACAATATGTGACAGATAAACAATTTTCGGGTCAAACACCAAATAATGACACGAAGAAATTGGCTAATATAAATGCATATCGCCCCTGTGTATCAATACAGGGGCTGAAGTGGAGCGCAGCGGGAGGTTGGGGTGTTGGGGTGGTCGTAGGGATAGGGGTGGGTGGGAAGTGGGTTAGAATGTGGCTAGGGTATGATGGTGATGGTGATGGTGATGGAGCGATCGGGCTTGTAGATACTTGGGATGTACATTGTGAGCAGACTTTGTTGATATAAGGATGGGTTGATGGGAGATGGGTTGATATAACCGCCACACCGCTTCTCTCATTTTACCCATGAAGCCGTGTTAATATAGCACATCTCTTTTTGTTGTATATTACAGGAACCTATTAAAGCCATATGATGCATCACTCGCCCCCCTCCTAGGGCGGAACATAGAGGAATTAGTGGTGATAGCGGTATGATTATAGCATAGATAAATAGCTGGCCTGCCTGCTTAGCGTGGCAGCCATACACCAAGGCATTACAAGATTTGATTGGCCCCTGCATGGGGCTTGGCATGAATACCGACCGGGTGTCACTTGCCACATATACCCTGCCTTTATATGGCCTGAGTCCATCACTATATACCATGTTTCCTGCCGCTTGCTATTGTCATCCCAGCCTAACCGACCGGCGAGGAAAATGACTCTGACAGATTCATTCATGGGATTTGTATATAGTGCTGAGCGATTCATAATTATACCCCTCCTATTAACGCCAGTCGGCATTAGGGAGAAGTGGTAAGTTGTGAAATATTTTCCAATTTCGACAGCAAAATAGTCTGCTGACAAAAGAATTTAGATCTGGCACGACTGAAATTCAATTACAGAGCTGAAAGGGATAAATTAAGCATGAATACCGAATATTTCATTTCACAAAATTATTAATGCAATATGTCCACAACAGACAGCAGCGAGCTAGGGCATAACGTCTGGCTGCTGGTCTGGTAAGACAGGCGCCAGGGTACACGTTCTGATATGCATCAGTTACAGGGTAGGGCTAGGCGACTGCATTGTAAAACTAAAATTGAAGCTGTAAGGCTGGACCTCGTCCATGCTGCAGCACAATAAAGGATAGGACACTGGGTCTTGTAGAAGAGTACACTCGGTCTTGTAGAATATGACGCTTGGTCTTTTAAAATAATAACCGAGGTCTTCTAGAATAATACTCCAGGTGCCTCCTGCAAACTGCACTCTGTGCTCAGCCACTTAGTGTATTACCAGGATATCAAGAGATCGGACACCTGTTAAACTGCACCGAGGCTATGGATCAGCCACTTAGTGAACTACTAGTATATTAAGAGATCGGACACCTGCTAAACTGCACCGTGGCTATAGGATCAGCCACTTGGTGAACTATGTTAAGAGATCGGACACCTGTTTGACTGCACCGTGGCTATAGGATCAGCCACTTGGTGAACCATGTTAAGAGATCGGACACCTGTTAGACTTCACCGTGGCTAAAGGATCAGCCACTTGGTGAACTAAGTTAAGAGATCGGACACCTGTTAGACATCATCGTGGCTATGGATCAGCCACTTGGTGAACTATGTTAAGAAGATCGGACACCTGTTAGACTTCACCGTGGATATGGGATCAGCCACTTGGTGAACTATGTTAAGAGATCGGACACCTGCTTAACTACACACTGTGGCTATGGGATCAGAAACTTGGTGAACTATGTTAAGAGATCGGACACCTGTTAGACATCATCGTGGCTATGGGATCAGCCACTTGGAAAACTATGTTAAGAGATCGGACACCTGTTAGACATCACCGTGGCTATGGATCAGCCACTTGGTGAACTATGTTAAGAGATCGGACACCTGTTAGACTTCACCGTGGCTATAGGATCAGCCACTTGGTGAACTATGTTAAGAGATCGGACACCTGCTTAACTACACACTGTGGCTATGGGATCAGCCACTTGGTGAACTATGTTAAGAGATCGGACACCTGTTAGACATCATCGTGGCTATGGGATTAGCCACTTGGTGAACTATGTTAAGAGATAGGACACCTGTTAGACTGCACCGTGGCTATGGATCAGCCACTTGGTGAACTATGTTAAGAGATCGGACACCTGTTAGACTTCACCGTGGCTACGGGATCAGCCACTTGGTGAACTATGTTAAGAGATCGGACACCTGCTTAACTACACACTGTGGCTATGGGATCAGCCACTTGGTGAACTATGTTAAGAGATCGGACACCTGTTAGACATCATCGTGGCTATGGGATCAGCCACTTGGTGAACTATGTTAAGAGATCGGACACCTGCTTAACTACACACTGTGGCTATGGGATCAGCCACTTGGTGAACTATGTTAAGAGATCGGACACCTGTTAGACATCATCGTGGCTATGGGATCAGCCACTTGGTGAACTATGTTAAGAGATCGGACACCTGTTAGACATCACCGTGGCTATGGATCAGCCACTTGGTGAACTATGTTAAGAGATCGGACACCTGCTAAACTACACTGTGGCTATGGGATCAGCCACTTGATGAACTATGTTAAGAGATCGGGCACCTGTTGAACTGCCCCGTGGCAATTGATCAGCCACATGGTGAACCATGTTAAAAGATCAGGCAAGTGGCATGTTGCATACTGGCTA